ATAATGCTCAGGACATTGCAGATGTTAAAGCAGCTCGTTGTTTCTGCATCTGGAACAAGTAGGTCACACATAGTTATTATACACACCGCTGAACACGGAGCAGCCAATACCCGTGTAATGTATGTGAGACTTCAAACTACCTTTTAGTACTTTGTATCAGTACAGCATCTTGTTTGCAAATGCTCTGGTTGAGAGCAACTGATGGAAGGGGGAAGGGACCCAAAGCCGACTGACCTAATTGCTGTGGGGATTGAGAAGCTGGCAAAACCATTAGCTTCTTTCACATTAGTTTTCTTTCTATACCATAATAAAGATAAATATTGATTGCTAGAGCAATATTGATTATAGGGGTCGCTGCAGATGGCAGCTGCATGATTTGCACAGATTATCTCCCATGTACAGTGCAACTTATTTGCATGAGAATGTGGTTTTGTCATTCTCATGAGCTGCAGACTGTTCACTTGCCTTATAGGAGCATTTACCCAAACTAGATGTATCAGTGATTAACAGTAAAATATGAAACAAGGGACTGAGGCAGTTCATCTTCTTTATACGTTTTGTGTATGTACCTGTCTGCCTTGGGTAAGTGGAATTCACTGTCCCAGCCATGTGGAAAGAAGTGCAGGACACAAGGGACCTGCTGTAATTATGCTGCAGTGTCACCATCTCACTCGGGAATATCACCCAGCCATACAGCATGCCTGGGAACAACGCTCCTTCCTTCACCCACTGACCTAGACACTGAGCATGCCAAGCTCCTTCATTCAGGCCTGGATGCCTTCCCCCAAGCTCCCAGCCTAGGGTCTTCAGGGGCCCAGTGTCCCCACAGAACAGCTTCAGCATTCTCTCCTGAGCTGGACCTGCCTGGTGGGATCCTAGTCTGCTTGCAAGAAATGGAAAAGGCTCCTCCAGTGTGGGCCAGGCTTGTGAAGAGGGAGCAAAGGTGCCTACCACAAGCACGGTGCCTATGGCAAAGTACAGTACCCTACACTCAGTCAAGGAGGAGTCCCTGGGGTGTGTGGGATGGAGATGCAGGAAACAGTAGGGGCATTTAGGCCCCTTCTATTACTGGTAAAAACCCCCAAGGGGCCCATTTCAGGGTTAGGCACCTCCTGCCAGAGATACTGCTGCCTCTCTCCTCCACCTGCAACCTCCAGGCGGGAGGAAGGGGCAGGCAGAGAAGCACTCTGTGGAGATGGCCTCCTCACCTCCTCAGACACTGCCAGGCTGCAAGGGAAGCACTCTCTGAGCACACTACACATCTCTGCATGTCTGTCTTCCAGCTGGCAACCTGCATCTTACTGTGGGCAATGCTGCACTTCAAGACTGCTGCTGGCTGACCTGCTGATATTGAAATTCCGAGGGAACAGATGCATTTCATCATTTTGATTTTGATTAACTCTGCAAGTCAGAGGTTTGCAGGCTTTAATCTGGTTTTAAGAAAATACTCCTGTCCTCTCTATTGTCAGCATTTTCCAAAAGGAAATTCAACAGAAGGGTTCTTTCCTATTATTTATCTCCTTCCACTTTGGGCACATCAGTGGACCTCTGAAATAGCTGCCCAGTATCTGTGCAAACCCTGGCTTGTCCAGTCTAGGGAGTGCTCTTATTTCCTAAGGGGCCCATATGGAGGAGATTAATGCTGGTGTCCAGGTTTCTGATGTGGTTCTGTACTGAAACTAAGCCACTTCAGCAGAGAGCAGGCACTCCATTTGGAGAGCACTGTTTACATTCAGTGAGTATTTTATAGATGCTTTTTCGAAGATCTTAGAAATATACCACAGTTCAAAATGTTATGCTTCATTCTGCATTTCCTTTTGAGTATATCTCTCGGTGTTATGTTGAGTAGCCCTGTCTGACAAAATCAATTATTCCTTAGCCAGCTCAGAAATAAAACCCAAAGCAAGCAACACCAAATGCCTGATTTACCAATAGATTGTAATCCAGTGCTAAAGAGCATAGCCACTGCCCTGCTTTAAATATTCATGAAGCCCACTGGTGCAAAATGCATTAAAGGTGGGAATAATGCCAGTAATACACAATCCTCTTAGTGACAAGAAGCTTTCACATATTAAAGTAGCAAGATGTTAAAGACTTTCAACTGAACAGTCTTTGTTTTTAACTTAGAGAAGGAGATTCACTAATGGAATGCCAAATTGCATTCACTCTCATGATACTTGACTGCAGAATAGGATAATAACACATGTACTTTCACATGCCATGGAAAACCTGTTATTACAGTGGTTTCTTTTCTGCCTTTTCTTCATACTTTCCAGAAAACGTTCACACAAATCTTACCCCTTCAAGTAATCTTCTGTGTGCCAAACCCCCCATCAGAATCCCAGGAGTCTAGCCATTAACAGATTGGTTTTAGGTAAATAAAAAGATTTAAAAATAATGGTGACACAGTACAATAGCATAATTTGGATGAGTGACAACTCGCAATGAATAAACAAAAAAAAAAAAAAAAAAACCAAAAAAAACCAAAAGAAAAAACAGTAAGAGTTAAACCAGAAATAATGGTCTGCAAAATAACAGACTGTGACAACGCAGAATAATGTCAATTGTCACTTTAAATCATCAGCAGCACAACCACATCTGCTATCACACCTGTGCTCTCTTCTCTGATCTACTCTGGCACCCTAGAAATATTAGGCGAACAGCCAGCCTTGCATCCCCAGCTCTCTGAAGTCTGGCTCTGCTATCAGCTTGCATCCCTCTTATCTGGAATGGACCAGGCACTGTCCCTGCACCCTCAAACTACTCCTGATTGATATGGATTCACTGGGCTCATCATCCTGTAATAACAGGTCCTGGGACCACCAGGACCCCGTTTGGACTGTACAAACCTCATCAGTCAGGTGAGACAGCTAAAGGAGCCCAGCTTACATTGGAAATTTGATCCACGTAAAAACAGTAATCAAAAAATAAATTGAAATTTCTTTTCCCACTTAATCTAAGGACATTTTCTGCACACCAAATCTTGGCAGGGGGAGTGGGGGAATATGTCTATCTGGTGCCAAACATGAAAAGTCAATTAACGTACATTTGAAAGAGGGGTCTAGAACCTCCATATGTAGTTAGCTTTTTTCCTAGAAATAAAAATAATGAAAAAGCTAGGAGACTTATTTTTTGGAAAGATGCTTATCCAAGACTAATCAGGGGGCAGGGATGGGAAACCAGGGCACTGTTATGGCATATGAAGTTGTTTACTTCAAAGCAGACCTTTTAACAGGCTTTACAAGGTCTTTGTATTTCTGGTTGGAAATCGGCTTTCCTGCCTTATAACAGTTTGTCTGATGGCATCCTCACAGTAAATGCCCTTCCCTGCTTCCTGCCCCGAGAAGCACTTTCCCCTGCAGAAAGACTGCCTGTCAATAAAGATTGAGAACCTCAGCTCCTGCTGTCATTATGCTGCTCCATATAGGCCAAGTTGTTTCAAAGGGGAGGAGTTAGACAGTGCAAAATCTGCAGTGGGAACACTGGGGTAAGTTGGATCAGGCAATTTTACCAAGCTATTTCTGGAAAAAAATAAACACTGCTACTCAGTGCTTATGATTAATAATGTTATCTTGTAGCTAATTTTATTCCTTGCCCCTCTCTTCTTCTGCCTTCCAATTTGGAAGTGCACTTAATTATGAAAACATGAGCACTAGACTGTGAATTTTGATATATTAATTTTACCATGGTTTTGTTTCTATACTGCACCACGAAAGCTTTCAAGGACAACCAGCCAAGGAGACAATGAAAATCGTAACACCTGGGGTAATTTCCTTAAGCAAAGTCAACATTAGGCAATTTCTCACTCGCAAATTTCATTACATTACTGAAACCTATAACCATGATGCACCTTGCTCCTGTTTTTCAACACCACCATTTCCTTTGATGACTGGAGACAGAACAAGGACTCTGCGGTTTGTTTAGTTGGGTTATTTTAAAGACTAGAACCAACCTGACCAACAGGGCATGGGTGCCTTGCCTGGGTGAGGTCACCTGCCTAACACTGGGCCCAGTTATCATGTTCACCATTCAGTCATTGACTCCTCTCTGTTCTATTCTTACTGTCCAAGTCAGAACTTGGGCCATGCTGCTTTATTGACATCTCACTGCCCAGTCTCCGTGTCCATTCTTTAGCTAACACTACCCCACAGCTTTAGAAGCACCATACAGACCATAGTTCTAACATTTGCAAGACTATTTTGTTCTGTCTCTAAGTTTGTTCTAGTTACTTGGATAGAAATACGAGGCAGGGCACTAAGGCAGTGCTAGAACTAAAACTCTGTGAATAGTGACCTTTTTGATCTATTGGCTGTTCCAAAATCACAATGAAATGATTAGCTCAGAGCTGGCCTAATATATGTTTGCATAGTTCCTAGGCAAAATACAGAATGAAAAAATAAAAATCTGAGTAAATAGAATTATTTCCCTTCAGCTAATGTAATTAAGGTTTAAAATAATAAGAAAACACGAATAATTTTGAAGCATTTTTTAAAAAATAAAAATTAAAACCATTTCCATTGAGAAAATGTCTAAATGTACACTCTCATTTTTTCAAACAATTGAGGGTTAGGTTTTCAACTCCAGCAACTAGGAAAAAGTGAAACAGATTTCCCAGCATTTCTAATGCCACACATGAATTAACATGATGATAATACTAATGATACTTTCTAACTGGAAAAGCTTTAGGTCAATTATTTTTCCCAATTCTATTTTTACTGAAGTATGAAGCTGTAAAACCCCAGATGGAATAACATAAGTTATAATGGCAACAAAATGGATAACTGTGTTTCTAGAGTTGGTCTAAATTGTGCATGTTCCAAAATTATAAACCAGAGTGTTTTATACATTTTTTTTCAGAATAACAACCACCTCATTCACTTTGAGATGAATCTCTGGGTGCAGAAAATTGAGTATCTTACATTTGTAATGCTTTCTAAACCACAGTACCTTTAAATAATACAACATTCATTAAAATAGAAGAGTAGAGCAAATTACTGTACCAAACATCCTCTGCATCTTCATCACACTCTGCCCCAAATTGGCAAATGTCACAGGTCGATGTCTCTTTTTGATTGGTTTCACCTGAGCCTTCATTGACTGTTTGATGGAAAGCAGAAGAATATACATTAGTAAAGATGGCATTGTAGCAAAGCACTTCTCTCACTCTAGAAAAATCTATTCACTGCATCAGCTTAATGTGCTGCTCACAAAGCTGATGGCTGGCCAACGCTGTTTCTGAACGGGGCCAACACAGGGATTCCCATGGTGGTCTGGGAAAAACTCCCTGAGTTATGGAGTTAAAAACCAGAGAAAGACCCTTCCTCTTCTCTTTCCTCTTGAACAATGATTCCCTTCAAGCTGCATCCCAGGAAGGTTGTGTCCCCACTGAGCCTCACTGTTTTGTTCCCTGGGAAAATAATGGAGGTGAATTGATAGCATCTCATGCTGCCTTGTGTCCTTTACCCATGAAGGCCTTGAGATGGCCCCAAGGGGATGCTTTCCTTGAAAATATTTTGAAATTACTTGCCATATAGTGCAATCTAGTCTATTCCAAAGGCAAAACATTTTTCTCTGCAGAAGTACAGTTATGAGCCCCATGGAGTAGTTATCTCTGGCAGGAAAGATTTAGTGCTGTCCAGAGGAGGGGACAATCTCCAGCACAGGTTAAATTTGAAACCCAGTGTCTGCAGTTGTATAAGGTTTGTACCTGGCCCTTAAGCCAAAAACATGAAGGGACTAAGGGGAAAATAAAAATATGGGTGCGAGAAAATACTGATGGCTGAGTACTGAAAGGCAGAAAAAGACCACTAAGGTAGGCACAAAAAGGGGGTTTGTTAAAAGATCCAAAAGAAACATTATCTATGTTTGTATAAAAGTACATAAACACCCTTTGATATCTTTTGAAGGATGCCACTTTATACCAAGACACTGTACATAGCGATATCCTTCTGCCAGTTGCAGAGTTATTAAACAAACGCAGAATTTAAGCATCAATCAGCTTTGACTGATATTGTTATCTGCACAAGCAGCCTCTGCAGTGTCATCCCTCTGGCATTTGGAGTCAGCACTGTGGTGTGGGCTTACTGCACACTTGGGTCCAGCCTACCAAAGCTGGTGGACATGTTGAAGTGTGTCGGAAGCCTCAGTGACGTCGACTGGACAAATCATCTGCTTGAGGTACAATTGTGTTGTTACCAGAGGCTTTTGTGTCAGAATAGGCTGCTTTTGTTATTTACTCAAGAAAGGACAAGAATCCCAAGCTTTCACAAAGCTGTTAGAGGAGAAAGGGCTTTTGCCCTTAGAGCAGCAAGTGTAACCTCAATGCCTGTTTTTCCACAAACTTGCTTCCATACCCTGTACAAATAATGCAACTTCTGTCATGCTTCCCATATGCCAAAATGGGAATAATACCATTTTCTACCAGCAGAGAATATGGAAACAAGTATATTAAAATATTGTGATATGCTTAGATACTACAGTGATACAGACCACAGAAATACCTAAGGTAGATGACTTGTCTAAAATGTTTCTTCCTGAGCCATAATATAGTCAAAGGAAGTGTTGGTATGTTTAGGTATAAAACTCTGCTGCACCAATTTCTTATCAGTCATGCCTGAATTTAGACTATATTAAATTGGAAAAAATCACCTATGATGAGCATGGTGATTGTCTATTTGTACAGATTTGCTCACCTTTATATCCCTAAAATTCATGTACAAAAAAACCTAAAAGGAAACCAGGAAAACACATGCTGGATTTTCATTCTACTGCACTGTCAAGCTTTATAGGGAGGGACTGAGCTGTGGTTTTTCTGTTTCCTTAAATAACTGAGAAATGCTTTAGGCTCACATTTTATAAAAGTCAATGTACAAGGGCGGACAAGGTATCCAAGTGCCACATCCTCACACCATTAGCATCCCCATGTGCCACCTGTGTGATTCGGACTGTGAGGCTCATGCTCCTCCCCACCTCCCTGCAGCTGAGTCCAGGCCTGCAATTTTCACTAAGTTTCATTTACATTTTAAATATAGAAATCTATTTTATTGAGAAGATAACTCTGACAGCCAATCTTGGCAGGGGATTTCCAGTGGTTAAGACCTTAGGCAGGACATGTAACTAGTGACTGTATTCAAAGAACAATGGGACCTATGGGCATTTTCAACAGCCATTTTCACCTGTTGAAAACACAACAATTGCTCCAGTTCAGGAGGGTGAGAATATATACTTTATGGAATAAAGCTTTAATTTATTTATTTTGTTATTCTGCAAAGCACTTCCCTTGTATTTCCTTTTAATTAAAAACATATGCTCTGTTTTCTTCCTCCCTGTAATGTTTCCATTCATAATTGTCCAGCACGTGTGGTTTGACCAGGGACCTCACACGGTTCCACATCACAAGATAAGTGATACAGTTACTTAAGTCATTAAAGAAAGGCATTTGAAAGGCTGAGTAGGTCGAAGAGACGTAACTGATTTAGAGAAGACCATCCACACTAAGGCACACTGCAGTTCTGAATTTCTACTTGAAAATAACAGGTCACTCCCTCATAGTTTTCTGAAGAAGCTCTGCATCCAGCTTTCCATAGTCAATGTGCACTTTGTCATTAAATGTTCTAGTGTGCAGCAGTCCTGATTAAAAAAGACAGCTGTTTATCTCACTCACTCTTTCTGTTGGCAGTAACTATAGATAATATTATTCTTTACATTTCCTAAAGGTGTGTTTTCTCTCCCTACACAAACATACCCACTGGCATATGCACCCACACCGAGAACTGACACAGAGAGGGGCTTGTTTTCTCCATGCTGTGCAGATAAGTGCTTTGATAAATCTGGACATCTTAGAATGAGTTATTTTCCCAACATTTCCTGCTGCTTTTTAGCTTGAGGACTAGTGGATGCTTATTTTCTAAGGTGACTCTTTTTCCTTTTTTCCCTCACTGCACTTGCTGATTTGCACTTCTTTCATAACCCAACCGAAAAAAAAATGGTTAGCAAAAATAATCTAGCTTCTGGATTCCTTTTCTAAAAAGGAGAACGATTCTTCTTCTCATGCATGTTGCGTAGTTCTCATATTAGCAACTGTTGAGGTTTTAACACCAAGACCCTGCAGGAACAGTGTAGGGCTCAGGGGAGGCTGAATGCTGAAGCCCACCACTTATTACTCACACAACTGAGAAATGTTAAGCTGCAAATTCCTATTTGCATTAGCAAGATTAGCAACTCTGAGAGTCCAAAGAAGTGTGCTAAAAAGGGTTAGAAGGTCACTAACATTATCTGAAAGTCACTTCAGAGACTATGTCAATCTCCTAAGCAATATAAATTCTTAGCTGTGAAGGCACTACACACAATTTACAGAATCAATGGACTGTGGTAACCACAACAGCTTCTGTTTTAATAATTTGGTCCTTCTCTGGCATTCTCACTGCACTCAGATCAGATAGTTGTGATTTCAAGAAGATTTGTATTGTTTGCAAGTCCCACAAGAAAGAAAACCTTTCTGAGGCATTTTACTCTGTTTCCCTAGCAGAAAAAACAGATTAAAAGTATCATCAGTAGGTCTGATAATCACAGGTTTGACCCTGTGATTATCTCCTGTAACATCAGGAGAAAACTAAAAACCCCAAACTGCTCCCCCCACTGTAGACACCTCTACTTTCTCTTTATACTTCATCTCTTAAGTTGAGTCTTCTGTAAGTGCTACAACCCCCAAAAGTCATGCTAGGACTTTATGCACACAGATTCCCAGACTCATGCTGGGACTTGGACTGGTGGTTTAGATGTTTTATCAAACAGACATCAAAATCTCTGAGCTTGAGCTTCTGAATAACCCTTGCTCAGTGTCTTCCCAAGATCTTGACAAGTGTCAAAGTCAGGAGGGAAACAAACTCTTTGCAGTTTCCAGAAAAGCAGCTCCAGTGGGATGGTAAGGAATATGCATGACACCTTGATCTGATACACCAAGTGTCACAGGGGACATGCATGTAACTTGCCCAGTGGACCATACTGTGAGGCCTAAATGGAAGTGGGAAGAATAGCTGGTGAGCCGTGAGGGTGAGAGACAATTAGGTGGCAACACTGGCTAAACACAAATCTCCGACTCTCTCTTTGCTAACATGCCTCTGCAGGTAATAGGGCAAACTCAAGAAAGCCTCAGCTCAGTTTTCACATAGCTTTGTAGGACTATTATAACAATCCTTATTCAATTTATTTTAACTATACTGGAGAACACAACAAAGAGACAGTATAAAGCATCACCACACACTTGAATATACGAAATATGACTATAATGAATTATGAATTAAGACTGCTATTTTGTAGTCTTCCTTTGATTGATGTGATCACATCTATGCTCATTGCTGATTCTAACTTGACTCCTCATAATGGGACATTTTTGCTGTTGTTGAAAGAAGAACTTCAAAACAAGCTTGCTCTAGCTCATCCTAACAGGATACATGCTTGGTTTTTAGCTATAACATCCAGGTAATAACAAAAATCACACGGAGATGAGAGTTGATGGCCATTTTTGTACTGTGGAATGAAAGACAATGTGCAAACAAAAATGTAGTGGAGGAGGAGGAGGAGGATGCTCTTTGGAACAGCTGACGCGATCTTGCCACATGCTTCAGTCCTAACAAGAACGCTCTGAGCAGGTGAGAAGGTGAGTGGATGAAGTGAGAAAGCTCTGAGAAACCAGGGCAGAGGAGCCAGCATAATTTACTAAATGTGTTAGAACAAACACTACCTGCACCTGTACTGAGCGCCTAACAACACCTCACAAACTGTACCAATAAAAGCCCAGACGCTGCAAGCGACTCCACTCTAATCAATAAGTCTTTTTTTCCTCAAAGCATTAGCTCAGTCAAAACCTGCAAAGTGAGAAAAATGAAGGGTGTGAAGCAGGGGGTCAACTCACGAATGACTCTGCTCTCGAAGTCTGGCTGAGGCTCAGAATGGCATTACAGTCAAAATGAAAGGAAAATGGCCTACAGGATTGGTAATAAATTCAAACTCTGACGTGCCTTGTTCTGCTCTACTCCTGCTGGCTGGCTCCATCTCAATAAATACTAATTTGCTCTCTCTCACACCCACAAACACTCTGGGGAAATTACTTATTGCACGAGAAAACAGTGTCTCTACCCAGCTCAGGACCTGACACAGAAATTCTTAAGGAGACCTGAAATATCCTCCTTTGGGCCTTTGATCTGTTTCTCCACACCACCACCGGTGAGTCCTTGAAACCACCTCTCTGCTATCTATGGGCACGTGATTTAAATAGCACCAAGGCTGTGCCATACCTGAGCTGGCTGCCAAGGAAACCAGACCTTTTTCCCCAGTGTTTATACTGCCTCAGGCACCATCTTTAGATACCTTTGCATCACCATTCTCAATCAAGTGCTAGAAAAGGTTAACAGGATGACTTTGGCACGATGCAAATACCTAACAGGATTTTTGAGGAGGAACTAGATGCATCCAGCCAGCGCAGATTGCTGATAAAATGTGCTCTTATCTTATTGCTAAAGACCATGTAGATAGAGCCTGGCACTGCTTTGATGCCAGTCAGACTCAATTTGCAGTGTTTTCCAGCTCTCATATTTATACTGTGACTTTCAGATTACATTTTTTTTTCTTAAAAATCACAGCTGGTGGATTATATCTGCGTATAAGGACCTCAGCTTCTACATATACATTTGTTTTGAAAGGTATGTCTAAGCTTTCGGGCTGTGGAGAAAAAGCTTGTGAGTATAACAAATACCAGAAACTATCATGTTTATAATTTTTAAATACTACTTCTGTAGGGTCTATTCATGATTTGTCACTCCTGTGCAATGCTGAGTTGATGTCGGGCAGGAAAGCAGCACTGCTGGAACAGCTCACCCTTGTGCATGGCCCTGTGCTGAGCTCACCCACATCTTGTGCTGAAGGCTCTGCTTCTGCCCTGGATACAGTCTCATTAGTGCAAGAAAACAGTGCCTGGGAGTGCTCTGAGTTCGGTAAATAAATAGTACGAAAACTGTTTCACATTACATCTAAACACTGCTGCTCTCTCTAGCACTCTCTTTATTTTTTACCTCGTCTTGCTTCCTGTCAGGCCTCCCCTCTCGTTCTCTTTTCGCTTCTTCCC